ATATATATATATATATATATATATATATATATATATTTGCCTGACCTGTCATTAACCGGGTTCCATTTTTATTGCCAGTACTGAACATCTACAATTTTCGTTACATATACTATAGATTTTCAGTACTGGCAGTAAAAATGGAACACTGCCTATGAGTTATACTACGCATTCAATTCTCGCCCTAGACAGTAGCGGCTCATAGCAGAGTCTGTGACGTTCTATGCAGAATCCCAATCAGGAAAAACATATGAAAAAAATGTTTATAAAATGTTTTAAAATCATTTGGAAAACATTTTCAAAAACGATTTTAAAAACGTTAAAAAAACGGGAGAAGTCCTCTTTTTTCATTAAAAAAATGTTTATTTTAATTTGCGAAATAATGTTTTTTTAACGTTATAAAAATGTTTAAAAATCATTTTCTTTACATGTTAAAAAATGGTTTTTTAAAAAAACCGTTAAAAAAACGATTAAAAAAACATTAAAAAAACATTATTTCAAACATTAAAATAAACGTTTTTTTAATTAAATAAAGGGGACTTATCCCATTTTTTTAACGTTTTTAAAAACGTTTTTAAAAATGTTTTTAAAAATGTTTTTCAAATGATTTTAAAACATTTTAAAAACATTTTTAATTAATTATTTTAAATAATTTATATTTAATTCAGAAACATTTTTAAAATGTTAAAAATAATGGAATAATTCCTTTTTTTCATTAAAAAACATTTTAATATTTTGAAATAATGTTTTTTAACGTTATAAAATTTGTTTAAAAATCATTTCCTTCACATTAAAAAAAACATGTTTATAACGTTAAAAGAACATTATTTTAAATATAATCAGTGTTTTCTTTAATAAAGAAAAGAAGCTGAACCTATTATTTTTAAATAATATGAAATCATTTTAACTCCATGTTTGAAACTCTTTTTGTTGATGCTTTTGTTGACGATCTAAAATGGGATTAAATTAATCGCAATTTTAATCCTCTCTTTTTATATTTCCAGTGCTTCCAAAATTTTAATTTCCATTCGTCTAATTAGAACTTAGTATTGTAAATTTAATTAATAAAAACAGATGCATGCTCTTATGAAAAGTTTTATACCAGACAGAGAAAACCACGAAGTATTTATGTATTGCACATTCTTCTGAAATGTCCTATGATTCTTTCGCACCTTTTAAAAAACATAGGAAAATCATTGAGAAGTTATGATTTTGTAACAGGTTTTCATAAATGTAGTAGTATTTGAAATAAATTTGTAATAATATCGAAATATAAATGATAATAAGAAAATGGATTTTTTTATTAATAAGAAATATAATATTATTCTTAAGATATTAATGTGAATAAAATGTTTAAAACATTTTCTACAAGTATAAAATAAAATATAGCGTAAAAACATGAGATATGTGTCTATATATGAAATAGTTTATTTTGTTCTTCTCCCTGATCGTTGTCTTCTTCGAGATCACTTGATTCTGCTTTATCAGTATTGTTATCAGTATCATCAGTGTCATCATCTGCGGGTGCGACATCATTATTCTCGGCATGCCTGTGAATGATGAAAATAAAAATATATTTATAAAGTTTACAAAAATGTTGACATGCTAGTTTAACAAAAAAACTAAAAAAATATAATATTTACTTTTTTAAACGAAAAGTCGCTTGAGCCAACCAAGAACCTGCAAGTCGTCCAAACATTTTATCATTTATCTGCGGATTATCCTTAGCTATCACTTCTGTAAAAAATACAAGAGCACAGAACGTCTTTCCTTTCAAGCTCAATTACATCCAATTCCTGCAACAGGATTTGTTATGACACTATCATTGTTTTAGTAATGCATCGATTAGACATCTTTTGTTTGCTACCTCGTTGACCTTTCCAGTTGAAACCAGATGCTAAATCACCATGTAACACCATATGAAGTATGCCAATGACTTGTTTTGTCATTGGTTCACCTGCTATTTGAAGATGTAAAGCATTGACCTAACAATTGTATAAAATTATATTTAATTTCTATGTTTAATATTAGACTTAAGATCCTTACAATATTTAAATCCTATGGTTAATATCACACGAATAAAGAGAGAATCTAAGATTTTCTTCGTATATTCCGATTTTGGCAGAAATATATCTAAATATATCTGAAGATATCTAAAATTTTCGATTGATATTTAAAATTCTCTGAATCTCTAAATAATAGCTAAACTATTATACCAAGATTTTTGTAAAAAAAAAAAGTGTTTAGAAACTGTCGTATAGACATTTGCAGAAATTGTAAGAGATTTTTCAGAGAATTTAAAATTAACAGAAAATTTTTTAGATTTCCTGAAATATTTAACTAAAAATTGGTGCCAATTTCAATACATTTTCATAAAATTTATAGAAAATAATTGTCAAAAACTTTTACTCAAAGGTATTCTACAACTCACGTATTATGCCGACGAGTAACAATAGAACAATAATGACAGGTTAAAAACAATACAATAATACAAACAACTGAACCGTTAATGCACAATTTCATACTTTAAAAATGGGACTGTGTACAGTACTGCTGAAATATATAAGATTACCTATTATAAAAAAGCGTTAATTTCAAACTGTATTGTTTTACAGCGTGCAATTGTGCTAAAATGCAAAAAGCAAATTGTTATTCAAATTACTATATAAAAAGATTACTATAAAAACAGTAAAAAGTATATGAAAGCCTGTAGGCTCAACTTCAACCTTGTTATATAGAATTTTGTTTGGCACTTTTTTATATTCTAATTTCTTATGCAAAAAGTACGTTGTTGAAAATGCATTTAATCTCGGAAAATAATACTTATGAATTTGGCATATTTTGATAGGTTACCTAATACATCTAAACAATACTTGTTAGACATTGATAATTTTCTATTATTTGCCATAGTAAATTTGATAATGATCGCATTATTTTTCCGTAATGGAATAGAGACGTAGATAAGAAAATTAAATATCTCACTACTTGTGAATGAAATGTTTCGTCATTTTTCAGTTTCCTTTCCACTGTGTATAAATCTTAAATATTTTTTATTGGGAACTTTTCCATACATATAAAAGGTTTCGCAGTTTTCGGTTGTGGCTTCCTTGCTGTTGCCGTTGTCTCAAAAAAACTGTCCCAACTTTTGTCCATTTTGCATACAGTTAACTTACATAACGCCATTTCAGCTGAAAATAATAGAAAGTAGAATGGTTTAATTTGCATTATACCAGTAAGCAAGAAAGCAATAATGAACAACTATATTTCGTATACATTTTCAACTTACTACTGAAGTAGCAAATCGCATCGGCCAGAGATTTTAATGTTACTTCTCCTTTTACATTGTACGCGCAGTTATGTTTTTTATTTATAGGTATTTTACATTTTTCAGTATTTTCGAAATGTGTTTCAAGCTGTTTTGTAATGCCGAGAGAAACCTCTTTTGAGGGAATTATTTCTGTAGACATTTTTTGCAGTATGCCAAATTGTTGAATTGTCGGTATCTTCTTTGTAGTCACCAGTTTTGAAATGGGCGGTAACTTTTTTTTGTTACGAATATTTCTTTTCTGGGAATTTTCTTCGTCTGAATCGACCAACCTTTTGTTTATTTTTTTTAACCGTTTGCCCTTGCCTTTTTCTTCCATATCTGAATGTAATGCCGCATTTGAATTTTTAGATATCTTTATTAGCATTTTCATGCCGCGATCATAATTTTCTACAATAAATAGCAAATATATATTGAAAAGAATGTAAAGAAACTGTAAAATAAATTATATAAGAAAAATTTTCCTATCGGAACATTTACCAATGCTTTCTTCTATCATTTTAATAGAAAAACATTTCCAATCTGAATTGGCTGTTGCGCACCGTTTAACTAGCTTCTATATATTTCCTTTATATTCATCGTCCATCGGATACCAAGCTAATGAATGCGTATTTGATATCCATGAGGACGGAATAAGGTTGTCAAAACCTTCGATTTCATCTTTATCGTTAAAGTGTACAATTGACCATGCTGAGATGTCTTTAGTTTTTTTTCAGTCAGTTTCGATTTCTTAGATACATCATTATTCTTATTTAAGGTTGATAATGTGACATGTACGTTAGTATGTGGCAAATTTACTTCATCAGTCATTGTGATTCTTGTAGTTTCTGAGGATTTAGAATCAAACTCTATAGGATACAGTGACCAAATCGGATCAAGAATACCAAATGTGCATCAAAAAATTTGACGGATCGCTAATGAACAAAATGTTAAAATTATTCATATAAATTGTGCTCTCTTCTATAGTCATAACCTTAATCTATATTGTCGCTATGATAAAAGACACATCGACGTCTTTTATATTCCGTTCAACCATTTTATGAAGAAAGAAAATCAAGTGCATAAAGTAACTGCAAAGGCTACTCAATTGAAGTGTTTCATGAAGGCAATTTCTACGTAAGCAATTTCACTTATTGTTTCTGATTTACTGCAAATATTTTTATTTAACTTTGCAAAAAATTATAACAAAATATAAACTTTATAATTTTTATATCTTTTTATTTTGTTTAATGCCAAGAAAAACGCGGCTAGTATTGATCCAAATTTGGTGCCAGAGTCCAAGTGTGGATCAAATCCAGAAGTATGATTAAATTTGTCCTTCTATTCAGAACAAATGTAATTAAATCATGTTTTTAGAATTTTATAGACGACATTATAAACAACGCATTGACGTTGAATAAATTTTACAAAAAGCAACTGTTAGCAACGGCAAGAGGTTATCTCGTTTTTAAAAATATTTTTAAAAATGTTTTTCAAATGATTTTAAAACATTTTAAAAACATTTTTAATTAATTATTTTAAATAATTTATATTTAATTCAAAAACATTTTTAAAATGTTAAAAATA